CACATTGCAATCGGTATAAATTTTGAAACGACGCATATTAATTTGAAATCCAGAGATATTATAGAGCGACATGTGACGTATATACCTATGTAATTTAAGTATGTGCAGTGATACACTCTATAAGAATCAATTTGTGTATGATATGTATAATCTGTGAAGCAAACATTAAAACTACTATGGAATTGTATCTATATTTCTTTGTATTATAGTCCTTTCGACATTGATCAAAACATTTGACCCCATGACAAGGATTTCAATCGTAACATATCGCTGCAACGGCTGAATGAGGGGAGAATCATAATTTTTTCAATAATCAATTACATATACGTATACGGAGAAGGTGTCGATTTGCAAATGGATAGGACCATATTCGATACCCCGTGAAAAAATGAAGAGTGTAAAAGACTTAATTATCCTCTACATATCGGTCCAGTCAAACTCTTTCAGTAATCTAGCCTACTGTAGTTTGAACACCCTCGAAATTAAAATTTAGCTCTAACACTAACATGCTATATAATGTGATTGACAAATATTGTCAGTAAAATGAAAATTCTCTACAGAACACTAACTTTTTATATAATGTAATTTTGTAAATATTTTACACATTAATTGTATTACATGATGAGTCACATTATTATACAAACATATGCAAGCACTTACCATATTTTGCGAAATAAAGGACCCTTAGTGCCAAATAGTGAGGTTTGTTGTATGTAAATGTGACGTGTATTAATTGTGATATTTAACTTTTGTGTAAAAAAGATTTTAATCACATAGGTACTTTATTCAGCAAAACATGAGTATAAATTTAACGAAAATGTTAGCTTCATAAAAATATAATTTTGTCCAAAAAATAATAAAAATCATGGCAGGGAAATATGGAAAGCTTTTCTTTAAATATTTTTTCTTCTTGACTTATTTATTTCCTATCGTATCAGCAAAATTACAACTTTCTGATATGTTCAACTTCGAAATAAAGGAATACATCCCCTATATTGTGGTCACGGCAATTCTCTTAGACATTATAATTGTAGATACATTTCTAGATGCTAAGCGCGAGATGCACACACTTGATCTAATAATCTGTATTTCCGTCCCGATATTTCAATATTTCATTTTTCCACCCATATTCTTTTATTTGACGGAAGGTTTGAGCATAATAACAATAGTTTCAATAAGTATCAGCAGTTTAGGAATAGTAATGATAATATCAATAATTATTCTAAGGTGTATGGGACGTGAAGTTTCTGAAGTTCCGGTTATTATAATTTGGACGATAATTTTTATGATTCCTGTCGTGTTGTTGGCAATGTCTAGTGCCACTGAAAACAAAGTCAATGTTGAAACCTTTGTTCCGGTTATTGTCATTCATATAGTTACTCCTTGTTTATTACCATTATTTTTTGATTTTTTTCCTTTTATACCTATAACAGCGATGGCGATAGAACATTATATACTATTTTATAGCATTTTAAAAGAAGTAAACAAAATTTCACTGTTATTGTTTTGGGCAAATTTATGGTTTATATTATTTTCTATTAGGTTATCAATAAT